ACTATATATACAGTAGTATAATTATACGTATATTATTTATATATATAATATATATTATATATAATATATAAGTATAATGTAAGATTTTGGCTGACCCTCTCTTCTCTAAAATATTACGTAATATCTGTCAGCACCCTAATATAAAATTTAGCAATATTCTATAGAATAGGTAGACAATATAAGAAATAAGCTTCACTAATGATTAGTAATTATTCATTTTTAATATTAGAGTCATGGAGTTTGCTAAATTTGTATAAAATATTCAAATTTAGAAAATAATCTAGCAATACAATATTTAATTTTATTTTTAAAAAATTATATATATAAAAAAGCATATAAAAATTTGGATATTCTATAGAATAAGTAGACAAATACTGCAAACTCTGCAACTCTGTTATTAAAAATTAAAAATTACTAATCATTAGTAAAGCTTATTTCTTATATTGCTTATTTATTCTATAGAATATCTAAAAATTTTTATAAATCTATAAAAAACTTCATCTAAATAATAAATATAGTTAAAAATTTAATCTAACTAGATTATTTCTTAAATTATAAAGCTTTTTTAAACAAATTTGCTTGAAGGGTGTGGTGATTTAGTGAAGTGGTTAAGTTGTTGTACTCCCAAGTAATATGTTGGCTAGATAAAGGTTCGAAATCTACTAACAATGAATTTCAAAAATTTTATCTGTACGATGGCTACTGTTGTTCTGTTGATTAGTTAGATTATCTCTGTAACCTTGGTGATACCAACAAAGATTAGGAGATTATGGAGCATTTGTGCAATATATGAGTTATACAAATAAGCTTTCAGATTGTAGTAAACCTAGAGAACCGAGAAGAACGATAGATGCTCGCTTGGCAAGATCCAAATAGAGAGGTAGCACAGATCTTTAACGGTACTACTGAAAGATCATCATTGAGAGAACTGGCAAAACCGAATAGGATCAAAGTATTTGGCAAAGCACTCCACTAACCAGGCTGCCAGAAAAGTAAACAGAGAAAAAGAACCCAACTGTGGAAATCAGAAGCAGATTACAGCCCTTCTGGGCTATCTGAATTAGTAGTTTGAGATTGTCAGGATTAAAACTAGTAATAGTCTGTAAAGTGTATATTGGGGTCTAGGTGAACTCTACAAGGGCCAAAGTAGATAATAGTAGTGGTCTCGGCTCACAAGTTGCTGTCTTCAAACTCAGCATAAGTTACTAAAGTTTAGGTTAGCTGGATTATGGGTATAGAAAACTCTAGCAAGTTTATTTCGAGGATAAATTAGCTCTAGGTCAGGCATTTCTTATAGCAGGTATTAGTTCCTTATAAGAATATAGTAGCGCAAAGGGTTTAAATAGATAATCTTCTAGTTAGATTATAGATATAGTATCTAGTATAGAACCTTCAGATGAACTACTTAAATAGGCAATCAAAAATTGTACGTGTGGCTAGTTATACTCTCTAAAACTATATATCAAATAAGTAGTGGCTGACTTTGATTAGCTTAGCACATAATCTAATAAAGGCAACTGACCATGAGATCACTTTGATATTAAAAAAAAAAATCATTATATATATAGTAAAATCTCTAATTATATCTTCTTGAGACCATAGTTAAAAAAAGTAAAATATAAATTTAAAGAGAGAATGTATTTATAGAAAGTAAAATATATAATGCTTTTATAAGTTGGGGTCAAGTTATACTATATATTTAGAGATAATTTACATAATGTTTGTACTTATAGAACTTGTATTTAGAAAGATCTTACTATATTTAATAATAATATATATATACAAATATGCTTTAACTAGAGATTTTTTTAATTAAATACAAAATTATAATAGTATAAATAAATTTAAAATAAAATTGCCAATTTAATACTAAACAATTTTTTATAAGTTTTAATAATATAATATATCAAAAAACCAAAATAATACTAAAACTAAATAAAATATAAGTTTGAAATATGATTAAGCAAAATAATAGCAAAAATATACTATAAAGAAATATATTAACTAAACTATGCAAATAGATATTAAATAAATATTAAATATATGCTATAAAATATTAAAAATTATAATTATTTATAAGATTGAGAAGCTTTATACAAAGAAATTTGTTAGCCAATTTTTTTAATTCCTAATCGATCAAATTAATTTTCTGTTAAACTTTAAATTTATTTTATTCTAATTGCCTCTTGATTAAATGCTTCTAAATATTTAGCAATTTTTCGATTAGCATTCTCTTCTTCATCTATTTTATAAAAAAATTCTTCCAGTGTAGGAATAGGTCCTGAATTTTGAGTAGTTTGTGGTTGATATTGTAAAGTAAAAAGCTGAGATAGAGGAGAAAATGATTGAAATTGTGAAAAAGAAATTTGTGATACTAGAGGATATATGAATTGTGAAATTGGTATAAAATATAGTGAAGTAGATTCAAAATTAGTATTATAGTTTTTTATTCCTCTTGGCTTCAGTGGAGCTTGAAATATTGGATGATTAGGTGGAGAATCTGTATTATTGAATCTATTAATCTAAATAATTATTTAATTTTAATTGGCAAATCACGAGTCATCTGAACAAATATTTTTTTTTTATATATAAATTTTACTATAAGCCTGAATGTGG